TAGAAGCCACATCGGCCAATCCAAGGCAGGCTGACCCTCTGCACACGGTGCAGCCCCCAGACAGCCGAACCTCGCGCCCGGCGCCGCGCGAAGCGCGCAGCCCCTGGCGTTATTGTTTTAGTTTGTCTTGTTTTCTGTGTGTCTCTTCCTCGGTTTCGTTATTTCTTTCTCGCCCTCTCTCTTTTTCCCTCCTTTTTTGTTTTCTCTCTCTCTCTCTCTCTTTCTCTCTTGCACTGCACGACGGCTCGGACCGCGTTTCCCCTCCGCGCCCATGGTGGTGGCGACCAACCAAAGCAACGGCTTCCTCCCTCTTTCTCCTCTCCTTCTTCCTCTTCCTCATTTTCTTGCTCCTCCTCCTCGTCTTCCTCGTCGTCCTCGTCCTGTTCCTCCACCGCCCCATGCCTTGTTGCCGTCCATTCCCCCGTTCCCCCGTCCCTCCGTCACCTCCTCCTCCTCCTCCCCCCTCCTCCCTCCCTGCGCCCCCTGCCCCCCATGCCACGCTCGGAGCAGCCTGATCCACATCTCGTACGTGCAATTGTACAGGAGGTCGAAGAGGCTGCCTCCAGAGCAAAACTCCGACACGATCAGATACGGCCTCAGGGTGGGGGGCGGGAGAAGCTGGCGAGGCGGGCGGCCAGCGACGATGGGCGGAAAGAAGGATGATCGCCACCGCCACCTAGACAGGGAGCCACAATCATCACGGCAACGGTGGTGTACAGGTTTTGGGCGATTGTGCTAGGTATTCTGCACACATTGTATATACAGAGGAACGCTGGCGTGCTTCTAACAGTGTCTGTTGCGCGAGTGGGATACATCCCCAGGCCGAAAGTGTTTTCCTCTTGGGGTAAAAATATGACAACACCAGTGGATCCAATTGGATCCCTTTTTTTTCGGGTGTGGGAGAGTTTCGTGGATCCTATTTCTGTGCTGCGCGGACCAATTTCCTGTGTGTGGAAAACAATGGATTCATTTATTTCCCGGGAATATATATATATATATACATACATATATATATACATACATACATATTTATACTACTAATACTAACATTAATAATATTACCAATAATGATAAATAATAATAATAATAATAATGATGTGAATAATAATGATAATAATAATAATAGTAGTAATAATATTGATAAGAATAACAATAATAATAATCATAATAATAAGAAATAAACTTCCGGGGCCCAAGGGAAATTGCACCCGCGCAGCACGGCAAGTGAAGCACCATGCTATCCACTGAACTGCGGATCTGCAGACCAATGCTATGATTCTACGGGGGAGGGGGTCTTCCCAGGATGAAGAGGAGAAGGATGAGGGAAGAGGCAAGACGATGTGGGAGGAGAATGCAAGGGATCGGCGCGTCGCTTCCGACATGTGGGGCTCAAGAGGAAAATCTTTCGGCCAGCGTAAGTATGTGATGCAATTACTTCCTGTTCGCCGTGCGTTGTCCACTCCACTGCTCGCGCTGACATCCCACCCACCCACCCGCAACTTGTCTCGCAAAACCCACGCGGCAGCGATTGCGATGAGTGCTTGGCGTTGGCTGGTGCATCCCTGCGGCCGCGCCAGCCCGCGCATGCACACACGCGCGCAGCGGTCAGCTAGCTTGGCGCGACCGACGCGGCCGCGGCGACGCTGACCGCCGGGCACATCCCAAATGCACGTCAGTGCATATTCTAGCAGGCACTTCAGTCGGCGACCTGGGCGGGCGCGGTATCATGGCAACGTCGACAACGGTAGACACGATGATGATACTAGCGATGCTGGTGGCAACGACGACGGCACAGCCAGTGACGGCGCCGATGCTGATCGTGCCGACGACGATGACGGCGTCCTCGCGTCGGCGATGAAGGCTCGGGAACGAGTTCGACATGCGCGCGCGGCCGACGCGCGAGTGGCCCGCATGGTATAATTTGACACGAATCGTGCACCCCCTCCAGCACGCGCGCTAGGGCGTTCGAGTGAAGTCGGCATGCGGCGCGAGAGGCCCGCTGGGCAGAACTCAACTAAAGTTCTTGTGTTGCAAACCAAGCGATGGTTTTCTTCTGGATTTCCAGGAGCGCGAACGAAGACCTTCTTGAAAACGGTCGTTGCGAACCAATGTGCTTTTATATGGGTGTCGGAGCGCTCGGTATTTAAATCCTTGCGACACCGAAGGTGTTTCACGGATTTCGGCATGCGCGCGCGACGACGCGCGCGCGTCGTCTTTCTCCGTTGCAGTGGATTCTCGCGACAGCACTTTCGCGCGTTCGAGCGATTTCGACATGCGCGCGCGAAGCCCGTTTGTTTGGTAGAACTATATGAAAATGTTGAACAGACTATGGTTTTCTTGAACATTAACAAAACGCGCAGACAAACAATTGTTTTGAAAATCAGCGCTGCGAAACCGTGTCTTTACACGCTTTCGTGACACTCGATTTTGAAACCCTTGCGAAACCCAGAGATTCTGAATAATTCCAGCATGCGCGCGCGACGCAGCGCGCGCGCTTCGTCCGTTTTTGGAAGAAACTCTTGAGAACTGATGATATGTCATAACCAAGTGTGCGCGCGTATTATTGTTTGCAAGCGATGGCGGGGCGCGTCGATACCTGTTGGGCTGGGGTGGTATGAATTCGCACTTGGGGTGGGCGATGGGGCTGAGTCATGTATGTAATTTGCAAAACGAAAAAGTGAACCGTTAATTTCTGGGAAGGGGGGGGCCCTAGCTCTCTCCCGAGAGAAAAAGGATTCACCCTGCCGAACTTGAAATTGTCAACTCGGTTGCGCGATCCCACCCGCCCACCCGCACATTGGTCTGTAAAACCCATGCGGCGGCGATTGCGATGAAGGCTTGGCGTTGGTTGGCGCATCTCTGCGGCCGCGCTGGCCCGCGCATGCTCGCGCGCAGCGCGGCCGGCCCGTTTGGCGCGACCGACGCGGCCGCGGTGGCGCGGACCGCTGGGCGCCTCCCAGCGGGCACTGCAGTGCGAGTCGGCGACTTGGGCAGGGGCGGTTTCATGGCGACATCGACAACGGTAGACGCGATGACGACGACGGCACGGCCAGCGACGGCGCCGATGTCGATCGCGCCGACGACGACGGCAGCGCCTGCGCGTCGGCGATGATGGCTCGGGAAAGAATTTAACGCGCGCGCGCGGACGACGCGTGCGAGTGGCCCGCATGGCGCCACTATTATTCGACGCGGGTCGCCCCCACCCCAGCGCGCGCAAGGGCGCGCGAATGATTTCGATCTTCAGCGCGAGAGACCCGCCGGGCTGAACGCAATGAAAATGTCGGAAGACCAAGTGTGTGTGTGTGTGTGTGTGTGTGTGTGTGTGTGTGTGTGTGTGTGTGTGTGTGTGTTCGCAGGAGCGCGAGCGCAAGCATGTTTGAAAACTGACGTTGCAAAACTAGGATGTTCTATGTTTCTTCGAGGCACTCGATAGTACGATCTCTACAAAACCAAAGAAGTTGGAAAGATTTCCGCACGCGTGCGCGACGGCGCGTGCGCGCCCTTCGCCTCGTTCTGTTGCAAGGGACTCTTGCGACAGCGCGCGCGCAGGGCCGTTCGAGCGAATTCGACACGCGCGCGCAAGAGGCACGGTTATGGTTTGCTCAGAAACTCGCAAGAGCCCGAGCGAACACTTTGTTGAAACCCATCTCTGCGATTGCTTGGCGCTGGGTGACGCATAGCTGCGGCCGCGCTAGCGCGCGGGCTCGCGCGCAGAGCGGCCAGCTACTCTGGCGCGACCGACACGGCCGCGGCGGCGCTGACCGAGACTCCCCAACGCGTTTCGCATGCCGCGCTGGCGCGCGGGCGCGTCAGTGCGAGTCGGCGGTTCAAGCATCAGCGGGCGCGGTACCATGGCGACGTCGGCAACGACAGACACGATGATGGCGGCAGCGGTGCTGGTGACGATGGCGACGACGACGGCAAGGCCAATGACGGCGCCGATGCTGATCGCGCCGATGACGATGATGGTGTCCACGTATCGGTGATAAAGGCTTTGCAAGGATCTCATCATGCACGCGCGGCCGACGGGCGCGAATCGCCCACGTGGTATTATTTGGAAAGGATCGTGCCCCCCCCCCCCGCAAACGCACCAGGACATTCGAATATTCCTTCGAACTCGCAAGAGCGCGCAAACTTTTTCGGCTTGAACCATCGCGTTGCTCAATCATCTGTTTTACGTGTGGTTGGGAACCTGAATCTTGAAATCCCTGCGAAACCCACGGGTTTCCGAAGGATGTCGGCATGCGCGCGCGACGACGCGCGCGTGGGCTGTGTCTAATTGGTTTGCACGGGGTTCTTGGTACATGATTATTTTGTGATCAACGAAAACGCGCGTCGCACTATTTCACGACAGCGAGGGAGTGCCGATACCAGTTTGGCTGGTCATATTTTTTCAATACAATGAACGACGGGACAAGATCGTATGACAGTTGGACATCCCTGGAGGGGTAACCCCAGGGGGGGATCCCAACTCTCTCTTCCAAACGAGAACTTACGTTGTGCAATCCATGTGGAGCAAATATGGTTTACAACATACGTTCTGAATTCTACGTGATGCAATCTATGTGGTGGAGTCCTTGTTGCGGAGACGGGCGGCGACGAGGCGGCGACGGCGGCTACATGGCCGCCAGGCTGAACGTCAAGCCCAGACGACTGGCGGCGACGACGCGGCGACAGCGGCTACATAACCATCAGACTGACCTTCAGGCACAGACGACTGGCGGCAACGAGGCGGCGACGGCGGCTACATAGCCGCCAAACCGCCCTTCAGGCCCAGACGACGGGCGGCGTCGAGGCGGCGACGGGGCGGCGACGGCGACAACATAGCCGCCAAACCGACCTTCAGGCCCAAACGACGGGCGGCGCCGAGGCGGCGACGGCGGCTACATGGCCGCCAGACCGACCTTTCAGGCCCAGCTCCTGCCTATACAAATAAGACGCCCCATGTGTAAACACTGCTTGGGGTTGTAAGACCCGGGGGGGTCTGCATCCTTCCCGCGAACGAGGGGGCCCTGCTGTCTGCGCGAGGCAGTCCGAGGGCAGATTCTGTATGAAACTGCGCAGAGCGCTTGTCTCGGTAAGCAACTTGCCGCGACGCCAGGAGCTGCTCTGACGGCACTTCCCGCGTCGCAGCGCACTGGCCTCCTCGGCGCGGCAAAGGAAAGGCTTGCAATGGGCATTGACAGATCTCATGGGGACCTGCGCCACGCCCACGCAACATGAACACGAACCGTCGGAGGTCCGCGCAAATTTCTTGCATCGGCGCTGGCACTCTCTCCCTGGCCCAGGGGACCCGGCGCCGATCCCCTAACCCGCCAGTAAATCCGCGCGGCGGGTTCAACCTGTGGGAGACCTTAGGACTTGATCCATGGTTCGTGGAGGAAGGGGAATGCGTACGTCCTCGTCCTTGTCATCCTCCTTGTCCTTTCCTCCCTCCTCCGTCCTCCTCCTCCTCGCCCTTTCTGTCCTCCTCCTCCTCCTCCTCTCCTCCGCCACTTCCTCCTCCGTCCTCTCCTCCTCTCTCCTCCTCCTCCTACCTCTCCTCCTCCTCCTCCCTCCCCTCCACCGCCTTTCCTCCTCCCCTCATCCTCCTCC